TATAGAAAAGATATAAGCATCAAAAAAGTGATCATAAGTAAGGCATGCCTTGTTAGAGTTAAAATTAACATAATTAGTTACCAAGTCGGAAAAGTAAACACTAGCCCATAATACAACAAGCCATAAAGGTGCTATGTAATGGCTCTAAATGTTGGAATACAGCAATAGCCATAGGTAGGTATCATATATTTAGAATAGTGCTTTTACAATAGATAACAAACTTATAAAGCCATAGTGGATAGAAGCCAACCTTCATAACTTTAATCTCTTTAGAACTTGATAAAACCTAAGCATAGGTATAGCAAGATATGACTTTCACAACTATATATGGAAATTCAACCTTGAAACTTAATCAACGAATAACCGAGTTAGGGACACCATATCTTCTAAAGTAATGTCCATGGGACCCTTTTGAGTGAGGATATAATTATTATAAATATCCCATAAGCTTAGGATACTCATAAAAGAGGGGGATCGAGGCTAATGGTATGGTTCATAGTCAAGTCAAATATCTTAAAAAACCCTCATGCTTTGATGTTTCTTCTAAATACTAGAATGACCCCTCAACTTAGAATACAAGCTAGAAATTTTGGGCTAAAAATTAGGTCATGCCACGGTAGGACGTTTGGTATAACTTTTGAAGTTATTTGATTCCATCTTTTTAGCGACTTCAAGATGATAGACGAATGTAGCCCTTTCATCAAAAATCAAATGCCATAAGAGCTCTTGCACTCTAAATGTCATCTTTTGATCCATAATCTAGAAATAAAGAAGGTCTTAAAGAGTGAGGTTGGACATTAGAATGAAGATCCAAACAAGAGTCTCCACTTCTTATAAACATCACTAAGAGGAAATAATGAAGTGGATTAGATTAATGAAGGATGACGAAGAGGAATATACTTAAAGTGATGGTCTAGTTATAGAGTAGTACCAAGCATAGATTGAAGAGGAGAATGAGACCTTTGGGATTTAGAAACAAACTTGCTATTGGAATCCATTGAGATCAAATAAAACATTGAAAGAAGGCAAGATCAAGAGAAGGAAAAAGGAAAGAGGCGAGAGATCGATTAAAAACACAAAAGGTCTAGAAAATTAAAAACCCTAGAATTAGGAAAAAAACCAAAGCATCTAAATTAAAAATTGACTCAATAAATAGAATGGAAATTGAAATCCCCTCATATTAATACATAAAAAATGAAAGCGACATATGGATTCAAACATTTGTAGTAAAGTGAACTAACGTACCAATTCCAAGTATCGTTTGCGGTATTGAGAATTGGAATGAGACGAGCAAATGGGTGCCAAAGTAATTATTTCTTGTCACATGTGAGAAGTGATATTACACACACAAAAAAAAAGAGGGATAAATGTTATACTTAAATTTTATTATGGCCCGACAACTTAATAAATTAATTAAAGCCTATGAGATTTTGACTACAAAGCCTATATGAATGGCCCTTATGAGCCATTGATACGTCCATATAGAAAAGAGATTTATATCTAAAAGTAAGAGATAGAAAGACTTAGTATAATTCTAAAAAGTATTGTATTTTGGATAAGAGACATGAAGAGGCAAGTACTATTCATAATAAGAGCCTAATCGAAATAACTAATTTAGTAATTTGAACTAGAAATAGAAGATACATGAGAATGTTACAATAAATGAGTGACAATACAAAAAAAATATAGAGTAGTGCAACCCAATGATGGAAGTTGTGGAGCATTGTAGTTCAAAAACATGGCCAATAAAGAATAACGAAGAAGCTATGAATACTAACTACAACTATGATGAACAACAAACAACAACAAACTCAATACAATAACTCTTACAAATTATCATATTAATGTTTCAAACACCTAAAACATAATAGGCTAGAGTTTATAGAAAGTAATCAAGTAGGTAATAATTATAGGTAGGTAAATCATCTCCGGTTCGATTGTCACTTTTATTGCAATACATGCATATCTTGTCTCTCTATATTTGAAGTTTTAATCGGTACTTCTTCATTATTTCTCACGTATGTAAGTCTTTATATTTTCAACATTATTATTGTTTATAATAATCTTTAATTCAATATCTATCAACTTCAATTTTTATTCAACTTTGCAATCTATAATTTATTATTGTGAAAAACGAGATGTTAGTTCATGTTTTGAATAAAGATATTGTTTTGATTAATATTTATTTGAAAATAATGTTATATATAAGTCTAATTTAGAGACTAGAAGATAGACAATAATACTCTCGACATAGGACCTAGATAAGTCACGGATATTGTCAATGATATCTCACATTTCTATTACAATGAATGTAAGACATCAAGCCTCCCCCTTAATTATGCAATTCAAGTATTATATTTTCATAAGCAAACAAATAACCAAGATTCATCAATTTAGCACTTTGGCCAAATTATTCACGTAAACTAATAAAAATCATTTTCATCGTTTGATTACCTATTTTTCATGTCATTTCATCTCTTTTAAATCATAATAACACAATCAAACCTTAGTTAATCCTTTTCCTTAGCCTTTAAATTAGGCTAAATTTTACTCTTTAAAGAACAACATGTATTAATCAATTTAACTCAAATTTCACACCTACTTAATCAACCAATTTTCTTTAATCGAGCCAATCAACTAATTAATCTAATTTTTCTTATTTGTGGTCGAAATCTTCCTCTAAGGTATCTAACCTTAATCTTTCTTTTTAACATATCTAAACATATTTAATTCATCCAATCAACAATTAATGAACACAAACCATACTTTCCCCTAAAACCTAGGGTTAGGTTGAATTTCTCTAAAACAAGAACACAACTTTAATCCATCAATTTTTTTTTCAATTAATCCCCCAAAGATACAAATTCGAACATCAAAAGCACGAATATCACCAATTCATACAAATCAAACGACTTCATATTAACTTCAATAATTAAACCATAAATTCATAACCAATGCAACATCAAATCACCAACAATTAATATTCAAAATAAAGCTTTCTTATAGTGTAGTGAGGAGTACACTTACCTCACTTGTTGCTAGACAAATTCCTCCCCTTTTTGGGTTAAACTTCTTCCTCCTCTTTTCTCTCCAAACTTTCAACCTAATTCCAAATGTTTTCCTCCTTCTCTATTTGATTCTTCTAGATGGTTTTAGGTGGATTTAGGGATGTGTCTAGGGTGGTTTTGAGTGGTGGTTTGGCATAATTTTGGTTGAAGAAACTTGAATTTCCTTAGTGTGTTCCTTCAATTTTCAAGTTTCTAACCCTTTCTTCCTCTTCTTCTTGCCATTTTTATTGGCAAGGTTTTCCTTAAGATTAAGCCAAGTGTTGTACACTTTCATCCAATTTCATGGCATTTAATAGCATTTTCTAGATTTTTCTTCATTCTCCTCTTTGTTTCCCCTTTTTCCTTGATTTTTCTCTAGATTTATTTTCTTTTTTCTCTTTCCTTGTTTGCTGACTTACTTTAGCTTTTCTTCTCTTCTCTTTCCAGCTTAATTCTTGCTAGAATTAATCACCTAAATTGTATTATTTTGTCCTTACACTTTTCTTTCATTCCTCAAACTTTCAATTTTTCACAATCAAGCCCTTATTCTAGACGTTTCTAAATTTTGTAATTGTCACTTAAGTGTCATAATTATTTTCATTAAGTACTCAAATTTTTATTGTTACAATTACACCTCTAAGTTATTACATAATGACAACAATTAATATTATAAATTATTAATTCATGTTCTAATTAATTCATTCACATTCAATTAATTCATTTACATTCTATAATAATTATGCATTCATTAATTTATTTTTTATGAAAACATAAATTAATAATCCATAGTTTAAATAAATATTCATATATTAATTAAATACTTTATTTATACAAATATATTTAAATTTAAGGAGATTTTTATATTGATAATATTACATATACTATTCTATAAATTTTCTTCCAATTATTTTTATAAATTTTTTATTTTAAAATTTTCTTAACTGATAACGGCATTAAAAAAAAAATCCAGAACACAATTCCCATTTGAGAAGACATTCATGGATCGTTTTTACGACGAATAGAAACGGACAGCACCAGACGCCACCTGTATGACCATATATAATTTACTTGTACTAATTGATCGGAAGATTTCTAATAATAATAATAATAATAATATAAGTGATGTCCTCAAGTGGGTCCCAGTAGCACTCTGGGCGTCACTAATGACGCTTTCAAGGAAATGAGATTAAAGTCAACAGTGATCCTCTTGCTCAGCACTTTTATAGTTTTTATTTTAATAATCATAGAGCTGCTAACATGCAATCAACAAGCTTACAGCGTATGCTCATTTCATCACAACTTCTTTGTTTAGTTGCCAAGAAGAAGACCCATGATTTAGGCTGTGATTTCTGCTACTAATTCCTGGATAGACTGTATAACTGTATATGATTAACCATATTTTTAAACTTATCGTAATTAAATTTAAATTTGAGTTAGAAATAAGTGTTAATAATTTCTAAGGAGTTAGTCAGGTAAAAATTAGCTTTTTTTCTCAATTTATTTATTTATTTATATAGTCAATATTTAGAAAATTTTATTAAATTTTCTTAAACGCATTAGATTGACATATAAAAATATATGTCAGAAAAAGTTTTAATCGACTCATAATCTTATAGGAAAATATTAAAATATTAAATATTAAAGAATATTCTTTTATATGTTTGAAAGCATAAAAGAAATGTGATAAAATATATATATATCAACAAACTATATGGACAACTATTTTATGAAAAGAAATTCCTTTGTTTGGGTCAGGTACCCTCACACTAACTATAAAACATTGCCACTCACCCATGTACAATACATAGAAGGAGGGTAGCTTCTCCACATTTGTTTCTTGTCAGTAACCAAGGGCGAAACCTTTTAAGAGCAAACAAATAGTAATTCACAGCCACAAAGTGCTGTGAGCTCTCTCCCTCTCTCTAACTATTTGTTTGTGCATGCTTGATCTAGAATGGGTGCCGAGAAAAAGAGCAATAAGAATAGAGATCATATTGGGTCCATACGGTCGATTTTCATGCATGCAGACCGTGTGGATTGGTTGTTGATGGTTCTTGGGCTCATTGGATCCATTGGTGATGGGTTCTCAACGCCTCTCGTGTTGTTTGTGACTAGCAAATTGATGAACAATCTTGGTGGCGCATCTTCTTCTGCTGAAGCTTTCTCTCATAGCATTGACAAGGTTCCTTTCTTTCTTGTCACTTCTCCTCCTCTTTCTCTTCCTTTTTCTCTTTGCATTTTCTGTCATACACAACGCACGTATACAAGACTGATTAACATTTACTAAATACTATGTGGATATTGACAGAACGCACTGGCGCTTTGTTACCTGGCCTGTGGACAATGGGTTGTTTCTTTTCTGGGTGGGTTAATTATTTAATATAAGATATTATGGTTAATTAGCTTTTATTGCTGATTAACTTGATACTTAATAATTAAGAGAAGGTATGATTAATATTATATATAACTTTGTGTTGATTTGTCAGAGGGATATTGTTGGACAAGAACAGGTGAGAGACAAGCTACAAGAATGAGAGCAAGATACTTGAAAGCAGTGCTAAGACAAGATGTGGGTTACTTTGATTTGCACGTAACAAGTACAGCCGAAGTCATCACAAGTGTCTCTAACGATAGTCTTGTAATTCAGGATGTTCTTAGCGAAAAGGTGTCCAGTTGATTTCTTTAATTATCTCAAAAGAAGCAATTTTCTGATCCCTAATTAATTTCTTTTATGGAAAAATATAAAAAAAATTGTTAGCTGTTATGCTAAAATTCTGACAATATTCAATGTGAATCAGGTTCCAAACTTTTTGATGAATGCTTCCATGTTTTTTGGGTGCTACATAATCGGATTTTTTATGCTATGGAGACTAGCAATTGTGGGAGTTCCCTTTATTGTGATTTTAGTGATTCCTGGTTTAGTGTATGGACGGACTTTGATGGGAATAGCTAGAAAGACAAGAGAAGAGTATAACAAGGCAGGTACAATAGCAGAACAGGCAATATCTTCAATTAGGACTGTCTTTGCCTTTGTTGGCGAAGGCAAAACCATAGCTGCATACTCTGCAGCTTTAGAATTTTCAGTGAAATTGGGTTTAAAGCAGGGCTTGGCTAAGGGGTTGGCCATCGGCAGCAATGGTGTGGTTTTCGCTATTTGGTCTTTTATGTCTTATTATGGCAGCAGAATGGTGATGTATCATGGCTCTGCGGGAGGAACTGTGTTTGCTGTTGGTGCCGCCATAGCTGTGGGTGGCTTGTAAGTCCAATCACCTTTTCTTTTTCCCCTTCTATAATAGTCAAGAAAAAAAAGTCCTGGTGGGGGTTTATGTTTCCCTTGCGTTAATTTCCAGCTGGGACTAGTGGCTAATCTGATTAAGGAAAATTAAAGACTGATTTTATTCTCATTTTAAAAAAGTGCTGATTAAATATTGCTATGAACTCTAAGCTCAATGAGTTTTAATTTATTTATGATTTTCTTTTTTCATATTATAATTAGGGCTCTCGGTGCTGGTTTATCCAACGTCAAGTACTTCTCGGAAGCAACTTCAGCTGGAGAACGTATCATGGATGTGATAAATAGAGTCCCAAAAATAGATCTAGAGAACATGGAAGGTGAAACATTGGAAAATGTTAGAGGTCAAGTTGAATTCAGGCATGTGGAATTTGCATACCCATCAAGGCCAGAAAGCATCATCTTCGAAGATTTTTGCCTAAAAATTCCTGCAGGGAAGACTGTGGCCTTAGTGGGAGGGAGTGGGTCAGGAAAGTCAACAGTGATTGCACTGTTGCAAAGATTTTACGATCCACTAGGCGGTGAGATACTTGTTGATGGTATCGCTGTTGATAAGTTGCAACTCAAGTGGTTAAGGTCACAAATGGGTTTGGTTAGCCAGGAGCCAGCACTATTCGCAACAAGTATCAAGGAGAACATACTTTTTGGCAAAGAAGATGCCACAATAGATGAGGTTATTGAAGCTGCCAAAGCTTCTAATGCTCATAACTTCATATGTCATTTACCGCAAGAGTATGATACCCAGGTTAGTTCTGTTTGTCTCTTAGCTGTATTGGAAATTGGAATACAACAACAATTTTATTCTTTTATCCTTATTACACAATTGACCTTACAAATTGCCTGACTTTTTTAAGATTACGATTTTATTTATTTGTTTGTTTGTTTGTTTATGATAAAGCAGCAATTGCATTGTTTATTGTATTTTATTATTGTTTACAAAACAAATGATTTTTTAGGCCATTTTGTCAATGGAAACAATCGTATGTGGTCCCCACGTAATAAAACTCGTCCCGTATCCTTCAGCGAGTTACAATTGCTTTCCCCAGGCCTTAAAATGTGCACCAATGTTTCTTCTCTTCTCTCTCTCTTCTGCCTACTTTTGGTAGCAAAATCTATACAACTGTGCGTGCCCATCACTACCACTCAAAGATCAAGCTGACTCAAGCAGCTTCCCCTCCTTTTAAAGGTCTCCTCGTTATCCTTTCCTCCATTTGTAGTTCCTTTTTAGAAATGCGTAAAATTAAATTAATTGGAAAAGGGCAAGAAAAAAGGAGAGTAGTACTCTCACAATAGCATGAGTGCAAGATAGCATCACTCCTATAAAAATGGTCCAGCTAGCTAGAACTATTAGCTGGTTTTGTTGGCAAAATCATAAGCAATGCTTTGACTTGCTGCTTTTTAATGATTAGATTGGTTACTAACAATGAAGCTCTTCTTTTTGTCCTTGTCAATCATCTACATATAATATTACAAGGAATGTTCAAAAACAAGCACACCCACACATTAATTATTGAATTAAAAATAATATAAATAGTCTACTTTCTAAATTATTGATTCATAGTCAAACATATTTATGATTTTTATTGGAATAAAAAAATTTTAAAAAAAATCTTAAATCAATTTGCAAAAATCATATTAAACATAACATAAACCAGAAAGCACTAACTAATTAATATTATGGGATCCCCAAGCACACTCAACATATGGTAAATCTATACGTATATAATATTCCCTTTGCAGGTTTTAATTAACTATTAATTAGCAATACATGATTAAGTACAGGTTGGTGAGAGAGGAGCTCAAATGTCTGGAGGACAGAAGCAAAGAATTGCCATTGCACGAGCAATAATCAAAGCACCAAGAATCCTCCTCCTGGATGAGGCAACAAGTGCATTAGACTCTGAATCAGAACGTGTTGTCCAGGAAGCTCTAGATAATGCTGCGGTGGGGCGAACCACAATCGTCATTGCTCACCGTCTCTCCACCATCCGCAATGCCGATGAGATTGCCGTGGTCCAAAATGGTCAGGTCATGGAAATCGGTTCTCATGATGAATTGATTGAAAATAAAGATGGTCTATACGCATCTCTAGTCCTTCTTCAACAAACAGAAAAAGAAAAAACCATTGAAGATGCCAATGCCAATAATATTTCACCTTCATCTAATTTTATCTCAAACATAGACGTGAATAACAATAGTAGTGGTAGACTGTCACTTGTCAGTAGGTCAAGTTCTGCAAATTCAGTAACACCCAGTCGAGTTTCGCTTACTGGAGAGATCAATGCAGTAGTTGAGGAACAAAAATTTCCGGTACCGTCATTTAGAAGATTGCTAGCTTTGAATATGCCAGAATGGAAACAAGCTAGCATTGGGTGTTTCGGTGCCATTTTATTTGGTGGGGTTCAACCCGTATATGCATTCACAATGGGGTCAATGATATCCATATATTTTCTGAACGACCATAGTGAGATTAAGGAGAAGATAAGGATTTATGCATTGTGTTTTCTTGGTCTGGCTTTTTTGTCGTTGGTAGTTAATGTGATTCAGCATTATAATTTTGCATACATGGGGGAGCATTTAACCAAGAGGATTAGAGAGAGGATGCTTTCAAAGATACTCACCTTTGAAGTTGGGTGGTATGATCAATACCAGAATTCAAGTGGCGCAATATGCTCGAGACTTGCCAAAGATGCTAATGTGGTATGCATTTTTATTTTTATTATTTATTTTTATGTTACTTATTCACATTTTAATACCATGATTCATTTCTTTATCAATTACTATGATTTTAGGTTTATTTGGATTTATTATTATTATTATTATTATTATTATTATTATTATAGAATATTTGTTTAGAATTTTATTACTAGTTATTAAAAACTAACATATTATATACCCCCAGTTTAGATATATAATAGGTTATCTTTAATGGAAGGAAAAATTGATTTTTTTTTTTTAATTACAAGTTTTAAAAGCTACTTTATGCTTTGTGGTATCAATTGAGATATATAGTAATTAGTAACTTTTTCAGGGGCTCTAGTTTGGAACTTTCACGCATGGTTTCTCAATCAACAGAATGAATCACTTAGTGGATACCTTATCACAATCAAAATGTCTTCGATAGATAATAAGATTTGATATATATAATTTATTTTAAAAAAAAATTCCAGTAATATTTTTCGGATAATTCGGATTGATTTGTGGTATCTTGAATTTACCAGCCATTGCAAAAGTGATGTCATTCATCCAAGTTTACACCATTTTAGTGCAACTTCATTGGTCACGCATAGACCTTTGTGGCATAATTTGCTTTGGGCTTGGGCAGGTGAGATCTCTAGTAGGAGATCGGATGGCTCTTCTTGTACAAACAATCTCCGCCGTAACCATAGCCTGCACCATGGGCCTGATAATTGCTTGGAGGCTAGCTGTTGTGATGATTGCAGTCCAACCCATTATTATCATCTGCTTTTATGTCCGGCGAGTACTACTCACAAGCATGTCTCAGAAGGCCATCAAAGCACAAGATGAAACTAGCAAACTTGCTGCTGAAGCTGTTTCCAACCTCCGGACCATCACTGCCTTCTCGTCTCAAGATCGAATCCTGAAAATGCTCGAGAAAGCCCAAGAACGTCCACGAAAAGAGAACATTAGACAGTCATGGTATGCTGGTATTGGGCTTGGCACCTCTCAAAGCCTGATGTCATGCACTTGGGCTCTAGATTTTTGGTATGGTGGCAGACTCATGTCTGAAGGTTACATCACAGCAAAAGCCCTATTCGAGACCTTCATGATCCTGGTAAGCACTGGTCGAGTCATAGCCGACGCAGGAAGCATGACGACAGATCTAGCCAAGGGCTCAGAATCCATCGGGTCAGTCTTTGCCGTACTGGATCGATACACGAGAATCGAACCAGAGGACCCCGAAGGTTACCAGGCTGAAGAAATAAACGGCCTCGTAGAGCTATGCGACGTGGATTTTGCATACCCAGCCAGGCCCGATGTCATGATCTTCAAAGGCTTCTCAATCAGCATTGAGGCAGGGAAATCAACAGCATTAGTGGGACAAAGTGGGTCGGGTAAATCAACTATCATTGGATTAATTGAACGTTTCTATGATCCATTAAGGGGCGCTATAAAAATAGACAGTCGAGACATTAGGTCATATCACCTGAGGTCCCTGAGGAAGTACATTGCTCTCGTCAGTCAAGAACCCACGCTATTTGCTGGTACTATCAACGAAAATATCACGTACGGCGCATCCAATAAAGTGAGTGAATCAGAGGTTATGGAGGCAGCCAAGGCAGCAAATGCTCATGATTTTATTGCTGGATTAAAAGATGGATACGACACGTGGTGTGGAGACAAAGGAGTGCAGCTATCCGGGGGCCAGAAGCAACGTATTGCAATAGCTCGTGCCATACTAAAAAATCCAGTGGTTTTGCTATTAGATGAGGCGACCAGCGCGCTTGACGGTCAGTCAGAAAAGGTAGTTCAAGAAGCCCTAGAGCGTGTGATGGTGGGGAGGACAAGTGTAGTTGTGGCACATAGGTTAAGTACCATTCAGAACTGTGATACCATTGCAGTCTTAGATAAAGGGAAGGTGGTGGAGAAAGGGAATCATTCATCTTTGTTGGCTAAGAGACCTACGGGAACTTACTACTCATTAGTATGTCTCCAGACCCAGAGGACACCACAAAATAATAACACCACTACGAGCTAAGCATTCAATTGACTCTGGAACATGCATGGTGATCAGGGTGAACATTGAGTATGTGGGGTTGTTTTTATTTTTTTAATATGGTTGCCATCAAAATGAACGTGGTGAAAGAACATCTAACACTGTTAATGCTATGTTTCTATCTCCTTCATTGAAGGCAGTTTCTTTTTTTTTTTTTTTTTTTTTTTGGCTATTCATGTGTGGCTTTAGTTTTTCTTTTTTAAAAAAAAATGTAGCATATGATAATAATTAATTTTTTGACACAGTATTGTTTTCTTGTCACATACGTATACATGTTACATGTTTTAGAAAATATATTTTTGCTAATATATGTCTTGGTTCGAGGAGCCTAAAGATATTTTAGAACGCAATAGGTAAAGAGATGGCAATTACCTCATAATCAAGCAGGATTATGGGTTCTTTCATAAACCTGGACATAACGTGTCTACATAAGTAAGGATTAGCGAAGTCATCCTGTACAAACAAAGATTGTCTAAATAAGTAGTGTGCATTAGTGTAAGATTGTTGGATATATGCTCAAGATTTAGCCCATGAGAAGTCTTACCATAACCCATTAAAAAATTTATTTGAAAAAAACCTTTTCTAGGAAAAAGATTAATTAGAAAATGATTGAAGTTAAAAAGGAAAATGACTATCATGAAATTAGAAAGGAAAAATTTCTTTCCATATTTTGTTTTTTCTTTATTAGGCAACTTGTGTGCATATGAAAAGAAAGCTTTGGTTTTTCTTTTAACACAATTTCCAAAAAAAGCAATGATTCTTTTTTTTTTAATTCTTTTAATAAATTCAATAGAAAGAAAGTAAGGATTTTTTGTACACAAAATATTATGATTTTTTTTTAGTATTGATTTTTAAGTACTACAATCACATAGAATTATATATTCAAGGTGGTGATCATATATATAATATTGGATTTTGCGAAACATTAAGATTTATAAGATTCTAGGCTTTCGTAGTGAGACAAAATTAGCTAGAGATGTAACTTGTATTATTACCAATATTTGTGCTTCTTAAGTTCATAGAGAAACTTGAGTGATTGTATTGTGCTTTTTTTTCTTTTATACTGAATTATTTCAAAATTGGTCTTATAGTTTTTTTCTCCATGATAAAGAGAGTTTTTCACGTAAATTTGATGTTTTTATAGTTGTACTCATGTGATTGATTTATTTTTTGATCTTGATTTTTTGTGTATATTTGAGTTAATATTTTCTCACGAAATAGAATATACATGGAGTGGGATTAAATTCTCAATACTAATATCAAGTTTTGGTTGGAATTCTTGTGTCAATTAAATGGAGAAAAAAATTCAAGAACGACCATGATCTAACTAACGGCTTTAAATTATTCAACTCAAAAGCCGAGGATGGAGAAATTACTTTATTACCATAATTTGCTTGTGACTAAATTAGGTAAAATCAAACCAACTTTAAAGATTGATGATATTTGGCAAAAACAAGTATAGAAAAGCTATTGGAGCTAATAGAAAGTGGGTGGACGATAGTGTGTTTGACTATGCATCCAAAAGACGGATGCCTAAGAACTATAAAAAAAATTAGAGAATGTGTATGAAAAGAAGACTAGATAGAATAAATCTTCTTTGATTAGAAGCTATTATCGAGATGGAAGGTCTTTGTTGAACACTTAAATGACTTTTAGAATTTGATTAATCAATTGATAACTATGAAAATAGTATTAGATGATGAGTTACAAGCACTTGCTATTAGGAACTTTGCTAGATAGTTGGAAGAATTTAGTTGTGTAACTTGATAATTCTACTTCGAATGGCATTTTGTCACTATCCATGATTAAATATAGCTTGTTCCATGAAGAAACAAGACAAAGTAAAATAGTAGAAAATGGAGCACAAGCTTTTGTCATAGAGAGTAGAGGGAGTAAAAATAGAAAATTTAGTAGGAACGAGTAAATCTAGAGGTAGATCACAAACTAATGTTAGTTTTAAATGTTATCATTATAAAACACTATAAAAAAAATTAGAATTAGCGATGTTTTATAAACCATCGCTAAAAACCATTAAATAGCAATGGTTTTTATAAAACCGTCACTAACAACCCATAAGAAATTGGTTTTAGTGATCTGTTTTATAAATCATTGCTATTTCAATCACTTATGACTCGATATTAGCGACGGTTTATGTAAAGCAATCGCAAAAAAATAAAATTTTTTGGAATCGGCGATAGTTTAATTAAACCGTCATAAATTCTAAAATAAAATTGAATTATAGCGATGGTTTACCCAAACCGTGGCTATAATTCCTTATCTATGAGAATAATTAGCGATGGTTTATAAAAATCATCGCTAAATATAATTAACGCACAAACAAGATGAGGTAAGGCAATTTGCGATGATTCTTTTTTATGAAAATCATCGCTAAATATCAAAATTAAAGACGATTTATGAAAATCATTGCTAATTTATGACCGTTGGAGGGAAAACAATCATTTTGAATGTTTTCATTTAATTAGCAATGGTTTTAGCAACGGGTTTTATCCCGTTGCTAAAAATTTTAATAACTAAAACCACTATCGTGCAAATTTTTCCCCTAAATTTTTTCCTTTCCTTTCTTCTTCTTCCAAGCGCACTCCTCCTCCTCCATGACAATAACTCTAAATCTCCATCTAAATCTCCTCCTTTCTCTTCTTTTCTTCCTCCCCTCCATCTTGCCCCCTTTCCTACTCCCGTTTCTTTTTCTTTCTCTCCATTCCTCCTCCGCCCTTCACTCCCCTTCTTCGTGAACGAGTGCCACGATAGCACCACTCCCTCCTTGACGCAGCAGCCTCCTCCTCCTTCTTAGTAGTAGCTTTTCTTTCTTTACTCCTCAAATTTTGTAATTGGGAACCCATTAAGTAATTTTTTTCCATTTATTTTAAGAATTTAATTTTGTGTCAATTGTCGTTATTAATTTTTGTTGTTGTTAATTATTTATTGGTTAATTGTTAGTTAATGTAATTGTTGTTGTTTTTAATTATTTATTAGTTAGTTTAATTGTTGGTATTTAAAAATTGAATTGTTAATTATTATTGTTTAATTATTCATTGGTTAATTTTTAGTTAGTTTAATTTAATTTATTATTATTATTATTATTTATTTGTTAATTAATTTAATTTTTTTGTTAAAATAACTATTTAAGTATTAGTTATGTTTTAAATAATTTTAATTTAGTCGATAATTAAATTAAATATAATTGTTGGTATTTAAATAATTTAAATATCTAATCTTTATACCAACAATATTTAATTTTAATTGTTTTCAAAAAATTTAATAGATGTTAGTTTAATTAATTAAATAAGTGATTTATGATTTAATAACATCAATTAAATTTTTGGTAAAATAAATTATTTAATTAAATTGGTGTAATGTTAAGTTTTTTATTTGTTAATTAAGTTGATGACTTTATAATTAAATTTATTAAATTGTGTTAGAAGAATCAATTAGGTAGTTACGTAAGAAAAATAAGAGTTTATAATTAATTTAATAAAATTTAATTTAAAATATAAAATTACGTGTTAGTTTCATTAATTTGGTTGTTAATTTAGTTTTTTAATTATTAAATTAAATCCAATAGTTGTTAATTAATTTAATAAATTATTGTTTAAAAGAATTAATTAGGTAGCTAATTAAGTCAATTAGTTTATAATTAAATTATTAAAAATTTGTAAAAATATAAAATTACATGTTAGTATAATTAATTTGGTTATTTATTTAGTTTTAAAATTTTCAAATTAAGTCAATTATTTTTTAATTAAAATATTAAATTATTGGTTTAAAGAATTAATTAGGTAGTTAATTAAATTATTAATTCGAGTTGTTAAATAAATTTTTTATTTTTTAATTGAAGTAAATTAGCTATTTATTAAATTAATTACATTCGAGTTTAAAATGAATTAAACTTATTCATGAATTTATTATAAACTAACCGATGATCTTTTAAAGCAATGTTTCGTAGATGGGATTAATGAATTTATTAATTTTATCATTAGTCATCTAGAGTGTATGGATGGAAATAAGATAAAATGTCCTTGTAAACTTTATAAATATCAAAATCGTAGCTATGAAAAACCCGATATAGTTAAATATAGTTTGATGAGATATGATTTTGTATTCGGGTATTACGTGTAGAGACGTCTTGGATAAAATGAGTTGGCTAATTATGGTAACAATTCTTTAAATTTTGTTCAACGTGAACAAATATTTAATGAACCTCTAACTAATCCATATCACAAAATGGTGATGGTTGTGGTTGGCCCATCATTTAATTAGTCTAACATATACCAAGTTCCAAATCCTAATACTCAAGCATTTTATGATTTGTTGAATGCATCCAATAGAGTGATCTAGAGATCTAGCCTAGTTCGGAAAATCACTCACGGTTATCCGTAATGATCCGTTTGTTACACCTCAAGTTTGAACATCTTTTTTGGAGAGGTGTCAACTTATAAAAGAGTTTATGCCTATTAATAACTACATGTCAAAAGACTTTTTCAGTATGAAAAAGTTAGTGGAAATGATAGGTTCATCGATTTAACGGATCAACAACTATATAAATCATTGCTTGATTTATTGGGATGAAGACAATGAGAGAATCACTTATAAAATATGTGAGCATCCTCGATATTGAAGCCTTAGGCGGGGATTAGTAAAAGACATATATGTCCCATTTAAAAAAATGTATTACTTTCCTCTAACCCTATAGTTATAGAGATGTATGCATCAACCATTTTAACTAGTGACATGACATGGCATGCCAAATATGAAATCGAGACAAACGTCATGTGTCATTATTCTAATTGTAACATCTCCAACCTAGGACCTAATAAGTTGAGAATATTACCTTCGTTAGCCACATTCAAAGTGCAATGAATGTAAGCTAACAAGACATTATCATCTTATTGTAACGTATATAAGAATATTTGCATGGTAAAAATCTTTTAATGACGTTCGGGTCCTATTTCTTACTTGAACTT